ATGCGAAGAAGCCTCTTTCTAATGTGAGTGTTCCAATAGTTTTTAATTTCATTGTCTGTTCTTCCAGGCAACAGAGCAGCAATGGCAGACCACCTATAAATATTGAGAAACATGGTAAGAAAACAAAGAAAAATAGAACTGAAAAAGGTGGAAGGGAAACGGAAAAAGAAACTTACTTATTGCCCAACATACTGTGCAGCTGAATTATTGTTTGTTCTTCTTCGAAAGAAAATTTCCCTCTCTTGATATCAGGTCTCAAGTAATTGGTCCATCGAAGACGGCAACTCTTCCCACATCTTTGAAGACCTTTCGTAATATTAACCATGAAAAAAAACAGAAACCAACAAGCATAAAGACAAAACACCATTACATTAAAAAGAAAACAGAAACCAAAACAGTAGGTAATAGTCACCGGCATTCTTTGGCAGTGTCCTCCAATTTCCAGACCCATGTTTCTGAATATAATCAATCAACTTGTCATCTTCCTCCTGCGTCCATGGCCCTTTCTTGAGCCCATTTTTATCACAGCAAAGTGTTCTTCCCATGGTTTCCCAACAAAAAAAAACTGTGCCTTTTGGTTATAATATTACAGTAATATAATTTAAACTCACGCGAGAGACAGAGAGAAGAGAAGAGAAAATGCAGCAAAGAAACGTGGGGTCCGTATGGGGAGCGTACTTGTATAAATAGCAATAAGTGAATAAACACAAAGCTAAATCAACAAGGATTCGGTTCGGTACCGTCCACTGCTTATCACTGTGGCAACGTGTGCCTCTACCTTTTGAGTTGGAAAAAAACAAACTTAATTTTGCCGGCGGTGAGAGTTGTAGAGATCTATATGTTTCATGTGTGTTACTACTATATCAAAGTTGCATTTACATACAACAATTTTTAGCTGTCACCAACAGGATATTGCCACGTGCTCCTTTCTTTTTTGCATGGCTGCAATTTTACGAAGTTTGGGCTTTACCTTTTCTGAAGTGTGACTAACAGTATAAATCAAGAGACTGTTTTGCCCACGAAAGCATCTTTGCTGGACCAATTCTGTTCCCACCAATAAAGGGTAGTAACATTATTTTCTCCCTTTTTGAACAATATTTGAGTGTCATAATTTAAAGACTTGTGATACAATTAACTCATTATAAAATAATATTTGTTCATCCCTATACTTCTAAGCATTCCAATTTCATCCCTAAACTATGACTATCATTTTAAATAGTCCTCAAACTTTTAAACATTTCAGTTTCATTCACAAACTATGATCTTTATTCTAATTTGGTCCCCAAACTTTTTGAATATTTCAATTTCATCTCAAATAATACGTATATACTAATCATATCTCTTGTTAAAAAAATTGTTAGGCTAAGTTATGTTTTTATATGTTTGTAATAAATAAAATGTAGGTTAAACTATGGTTGAAACTAATTACATACTTGGATGGATTCAGGATGAAATTAGAAGGTTCAAAAGTTTGGGGACCAATTTAGAATTAGAATAATAGTTTGGGGATAAATTTAGAATGCTCAAAAGTTTAAGGATTTATATATATATCCTGCAAACACAACTGTTTAAGTTCAAGATCTCAAAAGAAAATAACTCTCTTTAATTACTGATAAATGGAAGTTGAGAAAATGCTTGATCGACACCCGACCGGAGGATAGAGGAAGAGAGGTAGGCTCACCGTTTACATTTTGAAAAGCAAAACTGGGTGCAATTGTCAATTAATTGTAAGAAAATTGGACAAAACCCTTGAACACTTTAGCTTGGTGTTGCATCCTCAAATCATCCGTTTGGGAATAACTTGTAAACTTGAATTAAACAAAGGAAAAAGTAATGCGAAATTCTGGGCCAAATTTGAAATATGGTGTGAAGAACTCATCTCCATTGACTTGGGGTAGCCTCCAAAGTAAACAATTGTATATGGCGTTATCATTTGTTCCAAATTTCGGAGCTAGCAAAGCAATTGCCAATGGCAGCCTCTGGTTCTCATATTTCAGAACCACTCCGATTGAGTTGGGGATCATATATATATATATATTATGAATTAATACAGTAATAACTGTTTTTTTTAAAATAATATTTAATTATTTTATCACACTCGTTTTTGTCCGAGTCTAAATGACCATCCAGCTCAGTTGGTAGAGCACAAGGTTCTTAACATTGAGGTTGTGGAATCGAGTCCCACGGAAGGCATTTCATAATTCGGAGGTCTCTTACGGAAGCTGCTCTCAACCTGGTGTTGGGATAGCCTACTATCTTACCTCCCCTTACCCCATATATATGAGAAAAAGGACAGCCATTTTTGTTTTTGTCCGAGTCTATAAATATAAATACGTTTGATAGCATTTCAGAGTTTAAACACCGCTAATTAACTAATAAGTGGAATGTGGGCAATACACCTTTTTTGCGTTTCTGGGAGTGGCGTTTCGGCTTTCGACCACCAAAAACTTGTAGTCGGCTCAACTAAGGAAAAGTTTGGCCAGACTATACTTTTTAGTAAAAATTTCCAAATTACGGATTTGCCATACAATTGCATACGTGGTAGAATCTACGACTATCGATGTCCAAACTGGGTTAAGTGGCTGGTTTATCAGCTGATGATAAAGGTGTATTAATTAATTAGTTAACATTATCAATAACACATGTTTTAATACTAAAAGAAACTTTCAATTTTTTTTCTGCTTTTTTTTTAAATTTACATATTTTAATAATATTAATGATTGGATCTAACATTTTTTGGTTTATAACAAATTAAATCTTGATATTATCATGCTGAGATCTCTAATAATTTTATTATTATTAAAAAATAAAAGACCAAGCCTTGTATATAAAGAATAAGTGTTAGGCCCATTGACTAAATTATTATTGACTATTAATCTAATCCAACCTTCGTTACATTGCCTTTCTGAATTACCTTGGTTTTTGTAATAACGAATGAATTCGTTTAATATCTAATATGAATTCGTTTCTGCTCACATAGATGAACCCTAATAACGATGACATAATCTGATTTCTTTTAATATCTAATATGATCTGATTAAAGTTTATGTTCCCATGACTCAGACACGGAGACGTCACACTATTGACAAAAGTAACGAATCAAAACAATAATATATTCATAATATACTACTCGCGATATGCATGATTTATATTTTATTATAAAATGTGTATATAGAGTGTCATTACGATGCAAAATCCTAGTGATGCAATGCTAGCCTATCGTATTTCAATAGAACTATTATTATATTTAAAGGAAGAGAGGAGAATAACAAACAGCTGGACTTGGTCAGAAGAGGTCGAGAACTTTCTTAAGGAAAAGAAAATGCAATACCCAAAATATCAACATCTGATGTAATTATCCACAATTAGGACGCGTTTGGGTACGAAAAAAGAAAGGAGATTATGTCGCGTGTGTTTGTGTTCTTAGTTGACTAATGGAATCTCTGTTTGGTATGATGGTTGAAGAAGATGATAAAATTTGTTTCCTTGATACCAAGCAAACGACAAATGTTAGTTAAAAGCTTGCTGTTAATTATAGTATTTATATCTTGTTAACAAGTGTACTCACCAGAAAGACATTTTCTTAAGAGATACAACTATACGATTAAGTGTCAATCCAGGGAAGCTTAATTACAGATGCGCGCACACAGTGATTTCAATTACGGGCAATGTTGATCACAGAGATAGCTTAATGAATAGTCAATACACCCCAGATTCTCAAGAAAAAGTTCAAAAAAAACAAACAAACCAGAAAGCGGAAAAGACCTTAGAAGGTTCCATCTTTTGAATATCTAATGGCGCTTGATTAATTTTTTTTCTTTCAATTTATCCTTTGAATATGGAACTAAATTTTCATTTTTAAAAGAGGCAGGTTTTACTGTGACCAAATTGGATTCAAAGAATCAAACAATGGAATAGGAATACGGGTTCAGTATGGCTCAACATCAGACTACTGTTGAAATGGAAGATATCATCTCCAATATCTGATCATGGATGTTCCCAATGGTCACAAGAATCCCACCTGCAGGGTATATGCTCCTCCGTTCAACTTGATCTGTGGCAAGATCAAGTTCACTTCCTTTCCAATCTGTAACTTGGATTAACGGTGTGAATTTGATGTACTATGTTAGAGAATGAAACATTTAATTGTTAATTTTACGAGCACAAATATAGAACACTAAGATGCTAGAAACATGTAACTGGACGTAAAATGAACTAACTGCAAGATTTTATGAAATATTTATTTCGTATGCTAGGTTAACTATGTGTATATGAATATGAGTTTTTGTTTTTCCCTCTTCACATTATTGGCAATATGCAGAAAAGGCAACGAGAAAACTATTAGAAAATGCCTTCCATAGATCACCATCACAAGATGTCTCATCTGTGACATTTTTCTGTGTGGGATGAGATCTAACACTTACCATTCCTCCAGCTTCATGCACTCATATCATACCAGCAGCATGGTCCCAAGCCTATATTGTAACGAATAAGATAACTATCATAATTTGAATACTGTGTTCAATTAACTATAACCAAGAGTATACCCTGATAACTTTTTCAGATATTGCTCGAAGAATGAAAACAGACGCCTGACCTGAAGCCACCATTAAGTTCTTGCATAAACTGCAAACAATGAAGATACGCATATCACGCACATGCAATAAATGAGTTCAAAATAGAAAGTTCAATCACCAAGAAAACAAATAAATAGCAGAAAAAGAATAGTGTTGTTTAGCTAACAGGTGAAAGCCGAATGGAAAATCATGCAAGCAGGAAACATCAAACTAGGCATGGAAAAACACCAAACCTTCCACAGCATGCGGACAAAAGACGAATTTCCTTATCCCTTATGTCATCATCATCAATTCCTGCTTTGTACAAAACTGATAATGGCAATGATTCCCATGATTGACTCTCTGGAATACAGAAGCAGGCATTGGATACCGAACAGCAACCATCAACAAAGCATCTAGTCCAATCAGATGAAATTTTAGTTAAGCTATCAAGCATACACTTTCGCCTCTTTATCCATGTTCCACAGCCAACATGAGCAACCATAATGATACCCAATCCAGTAGAACTATTTTCATAACCTTGGGCATCATTGGTAGACTTGTAAGAAATATGTACAACCCAGTTAGGGCAGCCCATGACACCCAACACAATCTCTCCCTCAACTACTAGAGATAAACCTACCTGAAAATTTCAACATATGCCCTCGGCCAAGAAAGTGAGAAAGAAAGATTGCGCTTATTCAAATAGCACATCACTAAAAGTGGAGAAAATGCACATCCATCTAGTAACAGCAAGAACAAGGTTTTATAAAACATTGTAATCATAAAAAATTACCAAAGAACTTCTCAAATGTCGATTTCATTGCAAAAACTAATCCAGAACATAAAATGTTTCATTTGATTGTAACGTGTCATTAATTTACAGCAGAAGAGTGTTAATAAGATTTGTTAAATAAGTGAAGGTGAATGAGGCACTTTATTTTCCTGTGCTAGACCTACGAAACTTACAAGATATTTCATGGGACTAAGACAACATTTCAAATGAAAGAATAAGCGAATTGAAGCACAATGCAAGGCATACCACATATAATTAAGGCCTGACTTCCTTTTACAAACCCTCGGGTGCCATCAATTGGATCCAGAATCTGAATCAAGTTTGTGAACTTAACCATGTCAATAAAGTAAAGCCCAACCATACCACCTGGAAAAATATTTTCCACTTGTCCATCAACAGAAGTCAAAACTGCAGCTTACAGGTAAGCCATAATGTAGACTGTACCCAATATGTGGCTGGTTTTGTTCCCATAGCAAAAGCATTCCTGCCCCCTCTGTCAATTGCTTCCAGCACACCATCAAGTGATAATGATTCCTCATCAAATCTCGTTTTATCAGATACTGCACTTACTACAAGATCCACCAGATTGTTTGAAGTTTGAACGTAGAAATCCAGAGTCCTCCACAAAGAAGAAACAAAAGTGAAGTTTAGGTTCAACTATTTAAACTTATATACTTGTTAATCAGCTAATAAGCACCGGTTGATTTACCATTTCACACATCCTTGGCCACAGCAGTAAAGCACAAATCATTTATTCTTCATTGGAAAATAGGACTTAACTATGAAGTCTACTCACAAGACACAAGGTAAATTCAACTATGGCGAAGACTTATTACTGTATGCCAAATCCTATTCCAAAATTCAAGCCTTTTCATTTTCAAATCTTAGTAATTAAACAAAGTATTCAACAAACAGAAAAATTATCATACAACATTGAGGCATTAATGAAAATACCTAAACTAACAAGAGCCAGGACACCAAAATCTGCCACTGTGACTGGAGTTTGGTCTTTGTTTTCGACGTTATGCCCTTCATCAGAGAACAGAGACTTTTGCACCTGCAATCCAAAAATAAATAAAAAATTATTTAATAAGAAACTGAATCTTTTTAAAATCAGTAAATTACAAAAGTAAGTAAATGCATCTCAAAATTAATGCAACCAAGCGAATGGCTAAAAAACAGAGGTTAGATTCAAGCTTTCAAGATAATTTTCGCCGACACAAAGACGACAAGCTCTCTCCGTGACCTCCACCGCGGCTTCAAGTTCTCTGTGGTACTTGGCTTTCTCAATTGGAAAAGGAAGATTCGACCTGAATTTTTATAAAGATTTATGCCAAATAAAATAAAAAATACTATAACGCAATAAAAGAAATGAAATTGGAAGTAAAAATGTTATAAAACTTCAATAGTGTGAATTTAGGTGAGGACGTGAGGGTGAACCTTACTATGAAGAGTCTACTTCGGAGAGGTACCGAGGGAAGAATCTGACGGATGAGAAGCCTGGAAAAAAGCGGAGAAGATGAAGATCCATGGAGGGAATCATGGGGGTTGTTAAAGCGAAAATTAAAGACGGAGAAAAACCAAGAGTATGATACGGATGGGAATGAATATTTATGTTTCGCTACGTCCCCCCTTTCGTTGCCGTTGGTGAGCCGTGGGCTAGGCCTGGGTCGACAGTTGGGAAAAGAAGGGCTTTAAATATTATGATAAAGTTGAACTGAGACACTCAAGTTTTTCCCGCTTGGGCTTCCCATAATCTATAAGCACTCATAATATTTTGGGGGTTAAAGTTTATTAGAAATCCATATATTCTATCTAAAAAATTATTTTAGTATTTTTATTATAAAAAATATTTTAATTTTTATATATTTTAAAAATTAATATTTTGATCTAAAATAATAATAAAAAACTAGTTGGTATATATATTTAGATTTAAATACTATTTAAGTCTTTTTTCAATTTTGAATTCGAAAAAATTAACCCCTCTCAATATTTTCATAATTTTTTTACATAATTTTTTAAACACTTATAAAATTTAAATACAAAATTAATTCATATTCTAACTCTAAACTCTATTTCTTTCACTTACAATAATACTATAATTATAAGTCAAAACATAAACATATTTAAAATGTTTAATTGAAAGAATATACATTGATTTTTTAGAATTTATATTTGAGTGAGACTAGGAATTTAATTGAAAAATATTCAAATTTTCTTTAAAACTTTAAATATATAGAAAAATTATTTTTATTTTGTTTTTAAAAATGATCCAATCACAATTGTTCACATGTCACATACTGACAAAAAAGATCCACATTATCACATATTATTCTAATTTACTCACTTTTAAAATATTGAATAAATTATTCTCTTTTTAAACAGGGATTGATTTGCTCAATTTCAAAATTGGTAGGTGTTTAAAAGATATGCTAATCAAAATATTTAAGTCGGTTAATTATATTTTTAAAATTTTAAATCAAAATATTTTCTTTTAATATATATATATATATATAAACTAAAATATTCTTTTTTTATAATACAGAAAATGACTTAGATCTAATAAAATGATTGAAATCATTTTAATAATATAAAAACTAAAAAACTTATATATATATATATATAAGCTTCTAACAAGCTTTTAACATGTTTTTATAAGCATACAAAGCAGAACAATTGATCGAATTTGATTTTCGTTATGTTATTTTGAGAAATAATAATGGATCAATAGTCAGTTATAAAATGAAAAATATTTATTAGAATAATGATATTGAAATGAAAAATATTTTAATCAAATTACTATAGAAGGCCAAATAGAGGATATACAGATTTTTATTTTTTACAAATCTGAGATAAATATAATATAGTATTTGTTTAAAGATTCTCAACATTTTAATAATGAAAATTCGTACTCTTATATATGTGATACTTAAACCTGAATTTTAAAAAATAATAATAAATCCCTTAATCACTTAAATTACTTGATTCAACATATAAAATTCAATTAGGGGATGAGTTCAACTTAATAATAAGGACAGTTGAGGATGGAGTCTCCTTTCTAATGCTACTTGTCATTTTCGTAACTGCTAATAAAGTGGGACGTTGGTTGCTGCATCATCCTAATGATTTTTTATTTTTTATTAATTTGATGAAGTTACAAGATAATATATGTTTAAAGATAATTCTTAATCATATGAGATTAAAAGTTCGTACTTTTGGCATTCTTGATGTAGAAATTCGAGACCACAAGGAATAATAACAATTTTTTTACCATGTGTTATTATTATTTTTGTTTTTGTAATTTTTTTTAAAGTTGTTTGTGTACTTGATAATGCCAAAAGACCCTATCTTCCCTCTTATTTTTGTATAACATTTCCTTATTTTCCCCATCGTCTATTACTGATTTTACGATATCTTAAGGTTGCGGATAAGGTGAGGACGGAGAGGAGAACCTTCATCAACACTTTGCTTCATCAATTGTACTTCACAAGTTGGATCCATCGAACCTGTCCAGCTCAGGGATTGTCACGTTTTTTCACAAATATTTATATACAAAATGATGCCGACAAATTCATTCGTATCGGATTGTTGGATATATGAATTGCAAAACTACACCGTTAGTACTGACTAGAAATATAAACAGTAATCGAAAGGAACAAATTCGTAAACCGTGTCGTGGTAAAAACCACTGCCTTAGAAACGAATTTGCCCCGATGTGTGTAATCGCTGCAGTAGACGGTCCCCCGAGGTTAACACGGTCGCTCCGAATTTCGTACACCTGAAACCGGAGTGGACTGCTAGTGGTATTGCTCTTCTGATTGGAAAGCACTTAGAGAGAACTCACAGAGAGAATTGTAGAAAACACTTTTGTAAGTGAATTGTGAATGTTTGAGAGTGAGTTGAGAAGCTGAATATAACTCTCTATTTATAGGCTAGAAATACGGTTAATATCGTCCATAAAATTTCAGGATTAAATCTCTTCTTTTGTAATAGTTGAAACGTCTAGATGAAGTTGACTCAAAAATAGTCCAGGTTCATTGCATCATTATTCAGCTGTTATAACTCCTAAAATTATATCATGTAACCCCTGGAATTAAATCAAATAACTCATGTAACTCCTGATATTAACAGCTTGTCTCCTCTGTACAAAGCTGAAAATCAGTCCAGATACATCTTAACATTTTTTATTTAATTTAGGAAAAAGTTGTTTAATTTATGATAACTCATAAATCAGCTGTTATCATTTGAAATTTAAACAGTCCTCAACAGCCTATAAATATCAGTTGAAATCTTTCACATTTTTCATTTGTTTCTTTCAAAGAGAAATTCCTCAAGAATTTTCTCTAAAAAGATAGTATCCGCGCGGATGTGTCGAAGACACGTATTACCACGACCACGAGCCGTGGCGAGCTGAGCCGAGACGGACAGCGGCGGCGGCGGTGCGCGAGAGTCCCCCTTGTTCTCTATTACTCAACAAGGAAGTAGGAAAGCCAAGCCTTAAATACCATTCCCAATAGTGTTTCCAATACTATGTGGGATTGAGCATTACCAACATTCTCCCACTAATGCGAAAGAAATCTTCTGAAACTCGAAAACAAACTTTCCAGAAGAGCAATAGCGAGATTAGTTGCTTAAGCACTAGTGAACGTATCTGGAACTAGTACATAGTGATGATGAGCAATCCTTCTCTTAGATAAGTGAAACTAGTCTGGAACTTTCTAAGATCAGGGTAAACTCATAACATACAACTAACCCCTTCATCCACCTGAGTCCTCGATGTGTAAGATATATATATACAAAGTATATATTTGGCCATCTTACCTCAGGATTCTAGTAAGTGTGCTAGAAAAATGGTCCAACATTTTTCATAGAAGGCGGCTAACCCTTCTCACTTACATAGGTTATTTCATCAAGTTTATCTCAACATAAACCACTCTTTAAAAAGGGATATGAAATAATTAAGAGCTTTTATAATAGCTCAACCTCACAAAGGGTATGGTGACTTTCTTCAAGTTCATTATTAATGAACCACCCAAACTCTGGGCTAAGAAGTCATTAAGAATAAATATTCAACCTCATTTATTGGTAAATTCAATAAGTTCTTCTCACTAGAACCATCCAAATACTTGGATTTGAATTTATTAAGAGTTTAACAAACTCAACCTTTCTGTAGGTAAGTTCATCATTTCCTACCCACTCACTCTGGGTTATAAACTTATTAAGAATAGATATTCAGCCAAAATCGGTAAATTCATCAAGTCTTTCTCACTAAGACCACCCAAAGCCTGGGCTATGAATTTATTAAGAACAATTAAGCTCATCCTGGGCATGCATATTATTCATCATAGGGATAGGTAGTAGGAATGTGTACTATGAGTCTTTCCATGGTTTCGTTTGATCACATGGAACTTAGATAACTAAGTTGGGTATCCACCATGAATTCCTCAATCAATGGGCTTTAAACCCATCCCCCTTGACGAATCTAGGACCAGCTTACGACTTAACCCTTTGGTAAGTGGATCTGCTAGGTTCCTTTCCGACTTCACATACTCTAAAGAGAGCACTCCATTCTTTATTAAGTGTCTCACTGACTCATGTCTTATACGAATGTGTCTTTTCTCACCATTGTAAGCTTGGTTCTTAGCCACACATATCGCAGCTTGTGAATCACACAATAATGAAACTGGAGGAGTCGGTCTTCCCCACAACGGAATATCTGCTAACAAACTTCTGAGCCACTCGGCTTCTTGCCCAGCTAGGTCAAGAGCTATAAACTCTGACTCCATAGTAGAACGAGCAATACAAGTCTGCTTTGATGATTTCCACAAGATTGTTGCTCCACCCAAAGTAAAAACATACCCGCTCGTAGAGCTTACCTCATCATTATCAGAAACCCAGTTGGCCTCACAATATCCTTCCAGTACCGCAAGACAACCAACAAACTCAAGTTTCCAATCCAAAGTACCCTTAAGATACTTCAGTAAGCGTTTAAGAGCAATCCAGTGCTCACCACTCGGATTATGAGTATATTTACTCAGTCTACTCACAGCATAAGCAATATCAGGCCGAGTATAGTTCATTAAGAACATTAAGCTTCCGATTAACTTAGCATATTCAGTTTGGGAAACACTACTTCCTTTATTCTTAACTAGATGCATGCTAGGGTCATAAGGAGTTCGAACAGGGACGACATCAAAACTGTCAAATTTCTTTAGCACTTTCTCTATATAATGTGCTTGACATAAAGAAAATCCCTTCTCAGTTTTGGTAACTTTGACTCCTAAGATTATATCTACTTCTCCCAAATCTGTCATCTCAAACTTAGTGGACAAGAAATTTTTAACTTTGTTAATGGACTCAATGTTAGAACTGAAAATCAACATGTCATCAACATAAATACTTATGATAACACATTCAGTGTCAAACATCTTCGAATACACATAAGCATCCGAACCATTCACAACAAAACCAAAACTAAGAATAATTTTATGAAATTTCTCATACCACTGTTAGGAGCCTGCTTAAGTCCATAGAGTGACTTTTTGAGTCTACAAACTTTGCCTTCCATACCAGGTG